CGGCCCCTGGCCCTGCCCCGGCCCTGCCGGCTCCGCGGCGCCCCGCGGCTGCCGCTGTCGCTGCCCCGCGGCTTCGGGCCGCCCGCCTTCGCCGAGAGCGCCAGCAGCGACTCGGAGTCCAGCTGCTGCTCGGGCCGCGCCGCCCACGACTCGGACTGCGGCTCCAGCCTCTCCAGCTCCAGCGAGGGCAGCTCGGAGGAGGAGGACGAGGAGGAGGAGGACGAGGAGGGCAGCGGCGCCTCGGACTCCAGCGAGGGCAGCTCGGAGGAGGAGGAGGAGGAGGAGGAAGAGGAGGAGGAAGAGGAGGAGGAGGAGGACAGCACCTCGGACTCCGACTCCAGCTCGGTCTCCAGCCAGGTTTCGGTGCAAAGCATCCGATTCAGGCGCACCAGCTTCTGCAGCCCGCCCGGCGTGGTCCACGCCAACTTCTTGTACCATCTGGCGGCCGCCGCCGCCCCCCCGGCTCCCGGCCCAGGCCCCGGCGGAGCCCGGCGGGCTGCCCGTCCTCCGCGGCGCTCCCGGCGGAGTCAAGCCGGAGCTGCCGGAGGAGTGGGGCCGCCCCGGCTGGGCTCCCGCCGCCCCGGCGCTGCGCTGCTCCGGCGGCCTAGGGAGCTGCTTCGCGGAGATAAGAGATGATAGGGTATCCGAGATCACATTCCCACACTCTGAATTTTCCAATAATGCCAAGAGTACTGACCTAACAATTAACTGTGTTGCAAAGGGGGCCTCTTCACCTAGCCCAAAGACAAACAATGCATTTCCACAACAAAGAATACTCAGAGAGGCAAGGAAATGCCTTCAAGCAACTACTACACACCGTGCAGATAACAATACAATAGCTGCTAGGTTCTTAAATAATGATTCTTCATCAACGGCAGCAAATTCAGAGAAAGATTCCAAAATCCCTCATTGTATTGAATTTGCCACGGATTTGCCCTCTTTACAAACTGATCCTGCGGAGGATGCTGCTTCTCCAGGGGCAGCAGCAGCAGCTGAGCTCCAGTGCACTGATACAGGCAATAAGGCATTGCCATTCCTGCACAGCATTAAAATCAAAATAGAGGACAGCAGTGCGAACGACGAGTATGAGCCTGATCTTACAACACATAAGCTAAAGTGTGAGTGCAATGATACTAAGGATGAGTTTTACGGTGTGACTGAGAGTAATCACCAGGACGCTTTATTAACAGCCAAGGAAGATTCTGCATGCACTGAGAAAGAAACCACTTCCTTAAACCCGCTGACTCAGAGTCAGGTCCTCTCATGCACTTTAGGTACTCCAAAACCTGAGGATGGGGAGTATAAATTTGGAGCAAGGGTGAGAAAAAATTACAGGACACTGGTTTTGGGAAAGCGACCTGTACTGCAGACTCCTCCAGTCAAACCAAATTTGAAATCAGCTCGAAGCCCACGTCCTACAGGTAAAATCGAGACACATGAAGGAACACTGGATGATTTTACAGTTAACAATAGACGCAAAAGGGTAGCCAGCAATGTAGCATCAGCAGTGAAAAGGCCATTTAATTTCATGGCAAATTTTCCCTGTCCACCATCACTAATTATTGGCAATGATGGGGATTTGTTGCCAGCTTATTCCTTAAACACCACTAAGGATTCCCAACCACCTCACAAGGCCCATCCTGTATGGAAATGGCAGCTGGGCGGTTCTGCAATACCTCTTCCACCTAGCCACAAATTCAGGAAATTTAATTAATAAAATAGTTTGGAAAATATTTTCTTGAACCACCTTTAACTTTCTTACCTTTTTTTTTTTTTTAAACTCTGCAGCATGGTTTGTACAAACCCATTAATGCTATACACACTTTTGGAATCCTGTTTTATCACAATGTGAAGACAGAAACCGGATTACTATTTTATTTACCATTACAACAGTGGTGGGATTTTTTTGTTATTTTGGGTTTTTGTTTTTGGTGGTTTGTTTTTGTTTTGTTTTGTTCTGTTGCATTGGTTTTTTTTATTTTATTTTATTTTGTTACATTCCACAGAGTACTTCAGGCTAAAGACTCAAGTTAAACTCAGTTATTACGGTAAAGCTGGAACACTTTACTGTTTAAATGCTAATAATGCACCAGTACCTCAATTCAACTGCTGCAAATAAATGTCAAAAGGTTGAATAATAAATATTAGAATGAGCCATTAAATTTATGCACTAGATTTCAAAAATGGAAGTCTAACTGTTAATTCAGTTAAAGTTTGTTAAGTTACATGGTTGCACAGTAAGGGTTCACTATAAATTCAAGGTGGCAGCAATCTACTTTTCGGGAGGTTTGTTTTCGGGTGCAGGGGTGTCTCTTTCGAAGAGCAGTTGCACTTACTCCTTTTTCTCTGGTTTGGAAAGCCTGGTGTCCGCCTGCGACCCCAGCGCTGGGAAAAGCTGCCTCATTTGAAACCAGTAAATAAATGTGGAATTCTATTTTTGGTAAAAGGGTGTCTTTTTGCTTGTACAGCCACTCTTTGCAATTGGGAAGCCTTTTTGTTTCACCCAGAGGTCTTAAAAAAGGTTACTGTTACTCACTAATGTCATACTTAAGTTGTGGTCTGAACATGCCCCTTACAAACTTGCAAAGCAACTAAAATATTTGCCTGGCCAGCAGTACAATTTATGGTCCAGCCCCTCACGCTGGCTGGAGGAAATAGCAAAGCAGTAAATACAACACAGAAAGTGAAATGAGAGGCCGTAAGTGGAAAGATTACACAAAATGAGAAGACCATGTTATTCATAGCTTTTTGGCACCAAAACTCAAGCATTTCAACCGTGTTACACTTCCCGGTTCTATCCTCATCTCTTGAAATTTGCTGTCGTGGGTTTTATTTTGCCATGCCATCCTCTCTATGTAGCAGAAACATTTCTACTGCACGTGACAATCAGAGGCAATTATCTATATTTGCACTTAATATCGAAATAGTCGAACAGGCAGACTTCTAGAGTCTAGCCCTCGGTAAGTCATGCTGGTATAATATATTGTGATGATGGAAGCAGTAAATCAAAATTATGGAAATTTGCACTGTTGAAAAGCATGCTTTAGCTTTATTTTCAATTAAAAACACTGTTTTAAAAAATTCTGATTCCAAACACTTTGAATTATTGCAGAGTTATCCGTGGTTTCCTCTCCGTTTGTAAGTTCACTGTTTTTATTTGGAGGAAATACGCTTCAAGAGGTTAACTGTTTCCCTCCCTTCCCCCCCCCCAGCCTCTCGAAAAGAAAGGGAAGGGAAAAAAAAAAGGAGAGAGAAAGGCTGGAGGCCGAGGTGGAGGCAGAGCCGAGAACGGGGGAAGGTCTCTTGCGGGGGGAGGACGGGTACAGCAACTCTGAAAACAGCCTGAAAAGTTTGCAGCTTGAGAAAGGCAGTAATAATTGAGTTGCTGAATCAGCAGAGTTTAGAATGAATAATTGCTGGTTTCTTTCTTTGGATTAGCATTTTATTTATACTAGATCATTCACAAATTAAATTTTAAGGATTCCACTCATCGATCAATCCCGGGAGAATAATTTATCATAAATCAAAAAAGGAAAACAAAGCAACAATGTAATGTTTACTGTGTGACTCAAAGTCAACATTTCTGCTGGCAATCCACTGCCTGGGATTCAATTTTTTAATTCCTGCCTTTTGTGATGCCCTCTCCCAACCTCTCGGTGTCTCCAAATATTCCAAGTAGTCACTAACTGATTTCAGCTCTGTTTACTATATCCACACCGGAGTTTTCCTCTCATTGTAAAAGGCCTAGTCTAAGAATACCTGCAGCCAAATATATTTAGAAAGAGTAAACAATTGCCTTTCAGTGGAGTTACCCTTCCCCCCTGCATGCACACATGCACACACACACATCACTTTAAAGCTGCCAATTGCAAAAGGTGCATTGCATACTTAACTGCTCTGCTGAAATTACGATGGTCATGAAAAATCTGCTTACTGAAGTTGTTCTGAGATGAATGTTTACATTCGTGTATTTAGAGCTGCACAGAATACAGCCTTATTTCCAGAGAACTGTAAGTACATACAAAATGTACTGCTCAGGAAAGACCCCTGCTCTGTTAGAAACTGTGTCTGCTTGACAAAGGTCTTCACTTGACCAAAAAGAAAAGAAAAAGAGAAAGGAAAAAAAAAGAGCCAAAAGCTACAAAAGTGCAATATGCAAACTTGAAACCTAAAATTTCGCCTTGTCAATTAAACAACGTATCACTTTCAAAGTAACTCTGTCCCCTGACCCTGTTTACTTCCAATTAGAGATATGCTGATTTGGCCAGGAATTGTAAATTACAGAGGTGCCTTTTCAGGTTCCTGAAATAATCCGGGGGGTGGGGGTGGGGAGGGGGAGGAATAAGCATAAATTTATACCAAATAGGCTCTGCAGAGTTGAGGATGTGAAATATGGCGCCCAGCCCTGCCAGCGGCCCGGGAGCTCCAGGCACCCCGGGCATCCCCGGCAGGCTGCTCCGCTTGGCTCTCCTCCGCCCAGGCAGCAGCAAACGGCAAGGAGTTAAACAGCCAAATAATTTTCACACGTGCACACCTCAGTTTAGTGCAAGCCACTAACAGGGACATTCGTGTTTTTACTGCTGCTGGAGAAATTAGCCAGGTACAATAACTCACTAGGGAAAAAATAAAGGGGGGGGGATTTGAAAAAAAGGTATTCTCTCCAATTCTGGTAGTTTGGTAACTGTTTCTGATGACATTGTAATTATTATTGCGATCGGAGTTCATTATCATTTCAGCCTTAATCATGTGAAGTCTTATCACTGAGTTACGTAAAAATAACCAATTTTCTCCCATAAAGGTAAGTTCTAATAATGAGGAAAACCCAAGGTTTTCCAAGGGAGCTAGGCTACCATTTTGTTGCAATGTTTACAGGAGATAAAACTTAAAATATATTAGTAATGAATTGTCACCATTTCCCAATTCCTGGTGTACACACAAATCAACAGAATTTTCTAGAGGAAAAAGCAATTGAGGGAAGTGCGTGTACTTTATGGACTATACTGCATAGGTATTTGCCACAAGTAGAGTTCACCGGTAAATTTATTGTGAAGATTTCTGCTGCCAGATGGACGACAAAGAAAGTTTTGGACTCTGTTTAATTCTCTAGAGCATTAAAAAGGGAACACGTGTAATGCCTTCAGCAACAAGGTATATTGCCTTAAAAGATGTAACTTGCCGTTTACAGCAATTTACTTTAGGAACCGTTTGTTATATAAGCTACACTTACTTGATACAGAGGGATAATCTCTTTTCTGATTGTTTATTTAAAACGCCACTACTAGCAATAATGCAAAATAGTGGTAACTGTTTTATGAAGTTTGCTGTTTAATCAATTCACATGGTGATTTTTTACATGGTCTCTGATCTCTTTACCTCTAACAGATTTAGTTGCCAATAAATTAAAGTTTCTGCAGAAATGAGAGCAATGCTATCATGTTTATGTTTGTCACTGTTCACACATGCGAGTGGTTGAGACAGAAAAGGATAAAAAAAGTGGCATTTTTGACACACGGTGGTAATCTGCAGGAAAATATTCTACATATGCAGTATGTTGGAGAACATGAAACACAGATAACCTTGTTAATTGTGGTTTTTATGGTTAAGAGGATTGCTGGGAAGAATATGTAATGGTTCATCCTGGAATCTATTTGGTCAGCTTGGAGGTACAAAAGGAGGGCGAGTGCCTGAAAATGAAAAGCCCTGGCTAGCAAAATCAGGAGGGAAGCATTGGGATCTGTGTTGCTGAAGTCACGCTTGCAGACATTACCCCTTCCCCAAAGGTTTTCGGGCAGGCCGCAGATGTTAGACCGCGGCTTGCAGGGCCAAGTACCAGGGGAAGGGGCAGCAAGCCGGGTTTAGGCCTTACACGTTGAATTTTTTCACTGCGCTGATATAATTATTTCCCGTGCCCTAGGCCCCTCTCTCTCCCCCTCTCCCTTTCTCTCCGAGGCGGCCTCACAAGCCCCCGCTTTAAAAGCCCCGAGATGTTTTGCATGAGGCGCTCACAATAGGGGTTGAGGGAATTGACAGTTTCAAAAACAAGGCGCCCTGTCCTTTCCAGATGCCGAGGACCCCTCTCCCGCACCATCTCTCGTTTGCTCCTCGCTGCTGGTGGCTTTACCCTTAGCATTGCAAATACACGGCAACAGCTGTGTTTGTAAACAGGGGGGAGGACGGAGGGAGCGCCGCCGGCCTCGCTCCCGCTCCGCGCGGCGAGCTGCCGCTGCCTGGAAATTACAATAAAAAAAAAAAAAAGAAAAAAAATTAAAAAAAGAGGAGAGTGAAATCAAAAAAATGCGGGAGCGCAGCCGGGCCCCCGAGCGGCGGGGCGGCCCCTGCGCGGCGGGCCCGGGGCAAACCGCGCCTCGGGCCGCCATCTTGCCCGGCACCGCGGAACCTCACCGGCTCCCCGGCCCGGCTCCCCCGCTCCCCGCCCGGCTCCCTGGCCCGGCTCCCGTGCTCTCGGCCAGGATCCCGCAGGCGGCGGGAGCGGCGCAGCGATCTCCGGGGGTTCCCGCACTTCAAAGGGGGGCCGTGGCTCCCACCCTGCACCCCCCTCCGGCTCCTCCGCCGGGGCGTCCATCTTCCCGGGCTCTCCCGTGGCGCGGCCCTGCCGCCCCCCGCTCTGCCCGCTCCGAACCAAGGACGAGCCAGGGGGGAAGCCCACGGAGGTTGCGCGGGGCCCTCTGGGCAGATGCTGGGCTTGGGGCCAGGAAGCGGCCGGGGGAGGCCCGGGGCTCCGGGCTCGGCCCTGCGCCCTCCGCCCCCGCGGAGCCGGCCCGGGAGGGGACGGGGAGCGAGGTCAGCACAGAAAGTCCAATAGGGCTGTTTGCTCTTGCGTCTAAAATGCAGCCGGGGCTGTAAAGCGTGTGAAATTACGCACCGGTCTCTTAAAGAGTGGCTAATTTATAGTAAATAGCGAGGGCTTTGTAAATGGATTTATTATGTTGTTTCTTGTTAATTGTTGAGAAAATCCCCATTGTTGAGTGTGAATGGCTTTATGGGCTAACCCGGGCCGCGCTGCAATCCCGGGGCAGTAAATGGCCGCTCCGCTAATGTGGCCCGTAGCGAGAAGCAGGACCAGCCGCGGTGACCTTTGGGCGGCGGGGCCGGACACGGACGGCCCGCAGACAGGCCCTGCTGTAGCCTCGTCCCTGGGCGGGGGAAGCGCCGGGACCCCGGTCCGGCGTAACTCCCCGGCCGGGCCCGGCAGCCCGAGGAGCAGCGGTGCGGGCGGACCCTCTGGGCGCACGTCCGGGCCCTCCGGCCCCGCCGCGGCAGCGCCCACGTGCAGGAGCCGCTCCGCGCCTTTGTTCGCGGCCGCGCTGACCCGGGTGCCCCTGCCCGCCTGCCCTGCACCGCCCCGGCCGCAGCGCCGCTGCCACTGCCCGCCGAACGGCACGTCCGCATGGCGAAAGGGGCTCCAGCGCGGCCCTGGGCCCCCCACGCCGACGTTTTCCCCTCAGACAAATAAACAGGAGCCAGCATCTCCAGCCCCTTCTCCCCAGTCCCGGAGGGGTGGGGGAGGTCATGGGAATAGGGGTGCCGCAATGAGCTTCCCCAAACTCCACACCGTGCCCCCTCTTTCGCGGCCGCAGGGAGAGCCCCACCGCTGCTCCCGGCGGTCAGAGGGACCAGAACACGGGGACTCCCCCGCCGCTGGCACCCAAACCTCTCCCGCGTGCATGCGCCTGCATATTGTAAAATACAAATCACGATGAAATGTAAATTCTACTCTAGAAACTTATATTGGGCTATTCTCTTTCCTGAAATCTCTCCCCCTCTGATTTCGCTATTAGGAGAAATCCCCCTGGGTTTAGAGCACTTGTTCCACGGATTTCTGTACAGCCCACATCTGTTGCCTTCCCCTCTCCGGCTCGGGGCTCTGCCCTCGCTGCAGGCAGACCAGGGCGCTGGTAACCCGGCGAGACGAGCCACGGAGTGGTCGCCGCAGCCCGGCCCTGCCCCTCGGAACCCAGCGATTTTCCAAACTGCCTTTCAGGATCGGGATTGAATTGCAATCATGTCAGATGCACGGCTCCCTCTTCCCCGGGACTTGTGCTTGCAGCCCTCT